GGGCGCCAGCCTCGAACCCGAGAGTCACTTCAAGACTTCAAGACTTCAAGACTGACTGACCTTGAACCAGCTATACCCAGTGTTCCATTATAGGAATTCCAACTTCTGAGGCGTGTGGTCGAAATGGTGAAGCCCGTAACCAAACTCACTGCAAAAAAAGGTACAGATATTTTGTGACTAAATGTATTTGGTAATCAATAGTTAAAAATGGTCCTGTTTCAAAGCCCAGTCACCAGACAATCATAAAAAAGGGTGAGTTGTAAAATATTGTCTTATATTGTCAAATAGCCAAATTGCTTCCTGCTTTGAGATTATCTGACGAAAAACCTGTGCGGAAGGTGGAATGGATCAATCGGGAAAGAGTGTTGGTCTTGGCTTCCCGTGGAGTTTCTTATCTAGGGCGGCATTTAATGAAGGATTTAATTAAAATGATGCCCCACAGCCGGACAGAATCAAAACTGGACAGCAAACGTCAACTCACAGTAATCAACGAAATGGCTGAAATGGTTCACGCCAGCAAGGTATATATATTCACGTTTTTGACCAAATGCCTAATCGTGGTTCCAGCAAGTAATTTAATTAGAAACACCCAGTTACGTACGCTATGGTGGTACTCGTAGTAGCCATGTCGAACTCTGAACAATTCCCGAGTTTTCTAAGCGAAACCAAATTAACGATGGCATGCAAAGTTATGAAACGTGAATGAAAAGCCTAGGCTTGTTACTACGAGCTGGTAGCATTCCCTCGGGCTACCTGCTTGACATTCACCTAAGCTGATTTAATTTGAGAATAAATTGCCGTAGCATTCTTAGGCTTGTGTCAATTTCAATAGCCGTCAGGAGAGAGGCCTTCGAATTTAGACTGTCCGGCAGTCCCCAGTGAAAAGGGTTCGATTAGAAACTATAAGATGGAATCAACAACACAAATCGTCACGAACAAAAGTTCTGATGGAACGTGAGCATGATGTGCACTCAAACTAAAGTGACAAGTTACTACCGATTTCAGGTAATACACTGTCAACTTATTTACTTGTTTTGAAGTTCCACCAAAACGCGATGACGAGCCGTCAAGCTTGCACTGGGATTTGGGAACTAAGTGCATCAGAAGACTGCCTTGAGAACAAGTGTGATTTTTAAACGCATGTCTGAGTTCAGATTGTATACCAAACAAATCAGGGTGCAATAATATTCATGCACAGGAAAAATGATCCATGACTTTCTCTTGGGCGCCACACTGCCCGGTCGCCCCGGCCGAGACAGGCGAATTTTCTTAAGCAGTACACAACCGTAGCCTTCGGATATCCAAAGCCTGATCCGCAAGACCTCGGGGCGGTGTGTGGAAACCGCAATCTGTTGGGGACTGGTGTTTACTTCGTCGGATCGTACACCTTTTGTCAACGTCCAAGGAGCCCAGTACACCTCAATACCCAATCGCGCCGGTGACCACTACCACGATCTGTAGGGTGTATGCGTGGTTTGTATGTCTCTTCTAGGTTGGTTTGGAATCAGGGCTTTTAACCAACTGCCCTAGGTCAACTGCCAGTGTTTTACTGACCCGGTTATAGCCCAGATGGAAAGACTACTCCACCACGAGAAGGTAGTAGGACTTCATCAACAGAGGCTATTCTGGACGCTTGGTCGTATCGGAGCGTTTCGAGAGGTGCAAGGGTGGGGGTGACCAGCTGCAACCCGAGAAACTCACTCACGACTATATTGAGTCTTTCAGGGGTGAACAAGCACAGTGCCAACGCAACAACAACAATGGCGAAAAATGGTAGAACAAGGAAGTTGGATAACTACCGCGAACGAAGAGAACAAGTGTAATGTTTTTTATTTCAGCGTACACTTTGACGTTTTTGAGTGTTGGTTTATCGTCTTTATGGTTGGCGGGATTTCAAACTTTAAACCGTACGGCATTCATGCCTTTATTCTGGTCCATATACCAGCAGTTAACCAAGGATAATTCTCTTCCTTCGGACCCCAGTCTGGAAGGCTAAGCTAATGCTGAAGCTAGCTTATTCGTGCCATTGCGCTATGTTATAGTCCGACTGTCGCGACATTTCTTCCCGTCTTTTGGTGGTAGGCAGCTTTGCCGTCTTCCGGTTCAACACCACACGTAACCTAGCGTGGAAACCGCACCAGACGGGCTTCCCCAACGTGGGTGTGGTTCGTGGTGATTCACTCCTAGGTACAATCAATTTTTGGCAGCAAAAGTTAGATCTGAATAGCGCATTCTATGATTCTACTGTTCGCTGATTGTTCTTATCTTTATGAAACGATCACGCAACGCATGCGCAATTCATCAATCGTCCCCTAATTGTTTTCCACCTGAATCTTTTGGGGCAAACGAATATCCTTGAGTTGCAGACGTCATTGAGTCCTCGAGTTAGTCACCTACCACCAACTGATGACTGTAGTGTAATTCTATTTAAAGGGTACAATTTGATTCCGTTATCCCCAAGGTTCCACTCATCTGCAGAAGAATATACGAGAAGGGTGTAAGTTTAACGAGGTTGCTAGGCTCGCATACTTCTGTTCAAGTAAGTACCGTCAGAGAGCTAAGCAAATTGTTAACGTTCGTCAAGATGACCGGTTATAGCCCCGGATATTCCCGAAACGCCAATATCCGGGGCTATAACCGGGTCAGTAAAACATTGGCAGTTCACCTGGGACAGTTGGTTAAAAACCCTGATTCCAAACCGAACTAGAAGAGATATACAAATCACGCCATCTTACTGATCATGGTAGTGGTAACCAAGCTGAGGAGTATGAACCACACACCTTTCCGGTTGTGGCAGAGGTCACCGGTTCGATTGGACACCAAGGCGTATTGAGCACCTTGGACGTTTGACCTTGTTCAAAGGGCGTATAATCCGATGAACTGGATATTGGCCCCCAACGGATTGCGGGTTTTGCAATCAGCCCCATTGTCTTGCGGGTCAGGCTTTGGTTAACCTAAGGCTTCGGTTGTGTACTGCCCAAGAAATTTCGCCTGCCTTGGCTGGGGCAATCGGGCAATGTGGTGCCCAACAGACAATCATGGATCTTTTTCCTTGTTATAGATAATATTGTACAGTGATTTGTTTGGCGTGTGCGAAAATATAATGTTTAATATGTCCGATGTAATGTAAAAGTAAGCATATGTGCTTACATAAGTTATACAAATACAAATATCACTTCATCGTTTCTATTTAATTTAGCCGTAGTATTTATCACACTTCATAGTTCAAACCTTCGGTTCACCAGATCGCAGGATGAATATGTATAATGGGGAAATAAGTCCATGATTTACTTCGAGGCAGAATCTTGCTAAGTTGATTGAACCGAAACAAGTAATCTCCCTAGGAATTCGTAACTAAAACCATAGACTAGCTAAAACCTTATCAAAAGGCAGCGGGACGGTGTGATAATGCAGTCATCCATTAAGACCTGATGTTCAGTCAGTCGAATCACACGATATTATAGCTTGCTTCACACGTCCGGCATATCCAGTACATCCTACTGTTCATTTCAACTGGTGACCCTTACGATCATGTCTGGAAGCCTGGAATCTTGGTTTTCCGGGTTCCCTAGACTGGTTAGCTTACCATTACTCATGAAGCTGTGGCTGTTTGTGATAATGTGTAGATGAGGCATTGAGGACTAACCAAAAGGGCTTCCAAAATGTTGGCGTTGAATGGGTTTCTGGAGAAAAAGCTCTGCGATTTGGAGTGGGATGACGATTTCATCCACCCTCTTGGATATATAAAGGGTGCACAGAGCGCGCTTGTTAGACCAGCGAGTTGTGTTGCTCCATTTGGTATGCTTTTTGCACCTTCAAATCACAAAATGATGCTCCAGGACTGGGTGCTAACTATCATTGCCTTTAATTTTGATGGTCAGAAGTTGACCATAGTTGATTACTTCGCCGATCTTGGGTGTTGACTCAGTACTGATAATAGTTCAGTAGGGGCAAGGACACCCAAGGCATCAGCAGTGTGCGCTAAAAGGTATCGGCGTTAGGCTTCACTGAAGTCGAAAAGCCCGCATATACTGTGCCACTACGATAGGTTGTGCACTACAATTGTTTCGGTTCCCAGTTTATGTTGTGCCACTCTGTGTACCTGTGGAAGAATTAAATCAGTTAGAGTCTGCTTGTTAAAGCTTACGTAGTTAGGGGCGGATATAAAGTAATGAGGCAATTAGGAACTTTGAGTTGAACCGTATGTCTGGTAATGCTTTGGGGGAAAGTTTATCACTAAATTCGGTAAAAGCTATGGTGATTAAGACAATTATTGAATATACGTAAGGGTCCTCTACCACACCGCGCCTCACTTGCGGCTTTTATTATACAAATAACGAAGATTTGCAGCAACAGAAGCACACCTTATCATCTTACTACGTAAAGGTTAGAGAAAAGCACATACCCACGACTGCGTAAGCTTCTAGCGTCAATTCATTTGAAGACAGTATCATCAGTGCATGGCTCGTGGTTAGATCATCTGAACAGTCTATGCAATTGTGAGATAGGATCCTCTGAGATATCGCAGATTTTGATGCAACCGAAGCACTCAAATGCCATCCAATGTTGTGGCGACCTAGTGATGTGAAACACGTCGCACCGCTCTTTCAACCACTTACTATGGCCTTTGTGGGCCTGAATGCCGACACCCTTTTGACATGTCACTTATATAATCTGTACAGAATAGAAGATGAATCACTGAAAACAATTATTTGCTTCTGAAAGTGTGTTCTCATTGGAAGCGAGACGAATTAGCAATTTCTTAAACGGGTTGCATTTCACACCCGTCTCGTTGCCATTTATGGTCACTCGTGAGCTCGATTCCCATGAACCAAAGTTGCAGTGGTTCTGGCGTGTGATTTGAGCAGTTTTGTCAGTTTCAGGCTTAACTGCAGTTGCTAACACCGCAGGTTTTGAAATCTCTCAGGAATCTGGGTGCACACACCAGCATACAACATGAGCCGAACTCCTGAGTGCCAGCTAGCACTGATTTCAGCAACCTGTCATGTACCAGGTAGGTGGTTTAAAGTATTGAAGTATTTGATACTTGTCTCGTCAGAAGGATCTATGAGCTGTCTTCAGCGTTTCCTGTCGGTGTGTAGATATGCAACCCAACTGCGTTTCGCTTGAAGCCGTTCGGTCTTGAGGGGGATGCTTCAATCACAGAAATACTCAGGACCGGGATGACATGTTCGCTCGATTACTTCTGATTGGAAGTACGGGTAGTTGAAAAATGATCCAATAGGTCCTTTCATGCATTCCATTGGTACCAAATTGTGTGAAACTGTCCTGTACGCATGTTAATACATCTCATTTCCCATCTCAGGTTGTATTTTTCGAGGCTCGTAAGAAGAAGGATTTGTATCTGTGGATGAGCTGCGTTCCGAATGGACCATCGGTCAAATTCCTTTTGGAGAATGTGCACACTTCGTCAGAACTAAAACTCACCGGAAATTGCCTAAAGGCTAGCCGACCCATATTAGCCTTCGATCCTTCATTCGACAATCCCAGCGCTCCACATTTACGCTTGCTTCGGGAGATGCTTGTGCAAATTATGGGCACACCAAATCAACATCCACGTTCGCAGCCTTTCACGGATAAAACTTTTGTTTTTGGCATTCTGAATGACCGGATATGGTTTCGAACTTATCAAATTGCCGAGGAAAGCGCTGCTCTCGTCGAAGTTGGTATGTTTTTATTTTGAATGAGTTAATTTCTTGTGTTGTTTATTGTTGTTTTATTTCCTATTTATGCATGTAAGAAATTGTCACATGCACTATCATGCGCCTGCTTTGGTTGCTGCCTCTTGGCTACTCATTTGGATGAAACAGTAGGAGAAAGACAGGAATGTTGAAATTAGGGTCGAAGACATATTGGTGAATTTCAGTAAACTAAGGTTTGCAAAGAAATCGAGAAGATGCACGATCACCACTGTTTACGACACTCAGTCATATCACTCAGTGTCTCTAACCGTTGATTACAATGATCCCGAGGTCCTCATCCGGGAAGCCTAACGCTATCTGTACGACCGAATCTCCTGGTTAAGGTTTCCATACCCTTATGCCAGGTTTTGGCTTGACCTTTCCTTTGTTTTTTTTTCACTCAGTATCTGCCTCGGGAAACATTGCTCTT